TCTCCGTTGTAGAAAAGCCGAAATGTTTTGCATTTAAGTAGGTATTTCTTAGTTTCCAGGGTAACTGATATAAAATTATCTGAAATAAAGACATTAAAAGCAAACTTTCAATGTGCTTGTACTTTATATTTTAGTGTTATGACCTTGTTTCTATGGAAACTTTATAATAAGCAAATGCTGAAATTGAGATTTCTTATATCACTTTATTGAATGCCTCCCAAACATTAAAAACAAATNTGAAATTGAGATTTCTTATATCACTTTATTGAATGCCTCCCAAACATTAAGAACAAATTGAATTGAAAGTTTTACTGTCATGTTGAACATAAAAAAGTAAAGTCTGTACTGACAAACTCTATTTATTAACTCTTCTGACTTAACACCCTTTATCATAGCTCTATGCTTCATGCTAGTAGCCTCCCCTGCTTGCGCACCAGCTTCTCCTAAAGGTCCTCTGTCCAGGGCATTCTCAGCTGCAATTAAAAGTCATCAGAACAATCTCTTTAATATATACCAACTTGTTTACCTGGTAAATTCATGCTATTTCATGGAGGTGTTGCATCTGAGTTGTATACAATAATTTTGAATGGAAATAATCAAAACTGGAATAAGTGCAGATAGACCCCTTTTATGGAAAAATTGTAAAATATGAGCTGCCTTCTAAAGAGTTTTTTAAGCACTACAGGAACTGAATTTAGCATATCTATCAGCTCAATGCCAGCTTCTCTTCAATAGCTGTTACACAGTCATTTGAGATCTCTGTCTCGGTTTCTTCATCAGCAATAGAGGGAGAATATACATGAGCCTTATCTGCAGTTAGAAGGGCCAAATGAGATATACATGAAAGTAAGTTGTAAGTTGTTAATTTTAAAAGAATTATATAAAAGGTCCTATTTTGGTTTCTAACATTATTATCTACTAACACTACCCATCTACTAACTGCTTTGTAAAATCACTCAGGGGCTTACCGTACAGGACCAAGCAGAGCCCAAGTTTTTACAAATAATTATTTGCTTTTCGTTTAAAGGCACACTTAATTCACATAATTTGTTCCCTTTTTTCACAGCATTTGAATATTCTGAAAAAAGCGTACTTCCCAGTTACAAAGCCACGTTCCATCTGGGTGAATCCACAGGCTTAATTATTCTAACTTTTAATGAAATGAAGGGCTTAACTAAAGTTTAAATACAGTAAGAGCTATAAGACATTTCCTCTGTGAAACAATTAAATAATCTCTGGCATTTAAATGACACAAATGGACAAATGGGGCTTTAACATCTTTATGACAGATTGTTTTCTACTTCAAAGAACACAGTCTTCATTAGTCATGTTGTTACCCAGAATTATTTTAATGAAACATTTTCCTCTTTTTCCTCTCTCCTCCCCCTCTATTCCCCCTCCTCTCCCCTAACCCCTCAGTTATTTGAACTTTAGAACTTTTACCTCAATATTCTTAAAGTTGAACAGGATTCTATTGGCAGCAGGGGAGAGGAGGGAGAGGGAGCTATGGAGATAAACATTCTCGTGGAGGATCTGGCATCTTAATACCCAAAACTTTATATTACAAATTAAAGTTGAAATTTGTTTTCTTTTTTCTTTTTTAAACTTTTGACCAACAGTCTCATGAACCACAACGCCTCTCTTTTAGAACAGTCAAAGTGAAGGGGAAGTCTGTTAAGTCACTGAAGTAAAACTAAAAACATATTTGTGTAAAAATGGAAATTTTAAACTAATTAGAACTCCTTTGGGTAAAAAACAAGCAAAGAAACAAAAAACTATTCTCTGTAGTGCTGGCAGTCACATTTCACATTGGATCAGTTATTTTATGTTTTCTTTCCCACAACATTCTTTCCTTCTGTGTTCAGGTTATAGTGGAAGGAGTAAGGCAACTTCTGTCCAGGAAACTGAAAGCAGCTCACTTAACGCCATATGGACTTTCCTTGTCAGTCTCTATATTGAATGAATAGATAAAATAAATACTCCAATGTTGGGGTATTAAAGTTCTCATTGAGAAAGGACGGAAATATACCCAAAAGGCTTCATAAAGTCTCACAAGACGTTAAATAGAGCTATAAACAGGAATGGCTGAGGACTGGAGGGTCTCAGGCTGGTTTGAAAAATGAAAATAGGGGAAAGAACTGGGCTTTCAGGTAGTAAAGAGAGAAAGAAACTGGCTAGACACGAGGGGGAAAGAAGGCCTGGGGACACCAGGCATAGCCAGCATTGGTCCCTGCTGTTCAGTCCTGGGAAAGTCAGCTCCAGGCAAGGAGGAGCCCAAGGACAGTGGCTCCCTCCCAGGGGACCCAGGGGACAACAAAGTCCAGAGGTACTCCTGAGAGTAGATAGTGCTCACCACCTCCTTACCCCTGGGCATCTCTGGGTTGCTGGTGTGCTGCAGATGTTGTTGCTCACCAGCTCTGGGGATCAACTTGTCAGGCTCCAGGGCAGCAGGTGATGGTGCTACTGCCACCATGTTTCCTGCCACCACCTCATAAATACCAAACTCATAGTGTGGCTCTACTGGCCAGGGTCTGGCCCAGCTTGGGGCTGACACTGGGCTTCAGGAAACAAGTCAGTTTGTTCCCCATGGTGTACTTTCACTCCTTGCGTCTGTCACCGCTGCTCATCCCCCATGCCCCAAACCAGGCATGGCTGGCATGGGTAGCCCTCAGGGTTTCGCTGTTAAAGCAGGCACAAACTTGCTCCCCGATTGCCTGGCTATTTGGCTGCAGGGCCCCAGAAGCGCTCAGGGCCAGCCCTACCCTCTCTGCTGAATTGCTACTACATCCCTTTAGCTGATTAGTCTGTGAGGGTGGCAACCAGCCAAACATTTAAAAGAGATGGGGAACGGATAAGTGCTGAGAACTATAGCCGCTTTGGGAAGAGAGCACAGCCAAAGCTGCTCCTCCTCTGCAGCCACCTTCACCTGAAGGCTGTTCTCCTGGCTGGCACCCATCAACCAGAACATGTTCTGTGGTCACCTGGTTGCGAGGGACCAATCACACCCAGCGTGCTCTTTATGTGCCCGCCTCACAGAGAAGGTATATGATTTCCATTGCCCCACCCCACCACTGCTCTCCCTGTCCCCCCTAGTTTGATGTGCGCTAGGCTCAGTTTTCCACTCATCACTGGCTGCCTGGAGCTTTCTGGTCTTTTGGGAAGTGTGATGGGCATTTGTTAAAGCAAACAAACCTTTGGTTAGCAACTCAGTTTCATGGGGACTGACAGCTGATTGGTTTGGTGTATTGCTCACTGAACTAAGTTACACCTTAATTGTTGATCATTTTTGTAACTAAATGCTCCTCTGCCTTTCAAAAATTGTTTTTACCTGCATCTTGACCATAGCAACCCCTCGGGCTCTGGTCCTACTCTCAATAAAGAGCTATGACAGTGTGTCTAAAATGAGAGTAAAGGGTACATTACTCCTCCACTTCCTCATTGGTAAAATTGGGACCAATTTAGGAAATGCAAGGATTCACTAAATTGCGTTTCTCGCCTCCGTTTCTCCCTTCCACGGCAGGAGTTTCCAGCTTTTCCTTTTTCAACAACAACAACGCTTAAGGCATGATTTTCTCATATGAAATAGAGAACCACAAAGTGGGGTACCACTGTGTTGATTCGATGAAGATGATGATGATAGTTAACATTTGGCAGACACTTGCTATGCCCCCAAACTTGTTTCAAGTGAGGTATTTAAGAAGTAGAGTAACTTTCCTAAGGTCACATGATTGTTTAGGGGTGGGGCCAGGATTTGGTCCCAGATCATGTGGATCCCCGCAGGCACTTTATCACGGATTAGCAAAAAATAAAGGTAGAAGTAAAATATGGGAGGTAAGGACGTTATATCAGGATTTTAAAGGAAGAACAGTTGTTTTTTTATGTGGATTTTAAATATATTTTTTGCCATTCAACATTAAGTCTCTCCTATGTGTCAGGCACTGTCTGTGTGAAACACTCCTTTCAATGAGCTCAGGCAGATGAGAAAACAAAGGCTTAGTCTAACTGTCTGAGTTTCCAATGTTGGCCGGTGCTTACACCTGGGACTCAGACCTAGATATACCTGACTTTAAAGTAGATGCTGAATTGAATTTTATCCTGGAAATATAGACCAAATGAATAATGTGAAGTCAGATGGTTTGTAGTGAGGTCACTCTGGACAATAAGGCAGATTAAAAAACACACGATGAGACCAATTAAGATACTCTGTTCATCTGGAAGAGAAATGGGGGTGCGTACTAAAGGCAGTGGCAGTGACTGGAATGACAGAAGAGGATTCTTAAGACCTCTCTGGGAGTAATCAAGGAATGTTAGTTCATTTTTAGCACTAGTGTTTTATAAATTATTGGGAAAACAGTGACCATAGTTTTCCCATAGAAATTGTATTAGAGGTAATCAATTTGAAAAAGCTTTTAAAAATGATACATGTGGGTTGTAACAATTAAAAACATTATACTTCCACACAAAGGGATAACTATATATTTAAGAATTTTACAGTTTTTACTCTTTATCTTGGTTTTGATTTTATAATTTGAGTTAAGTATTCATGACAATGAATACAGTGTGCACATTTTATTTGATTTTAAGAACTAGTTTAAACACATTTTTACATATTGACAATCATGGTATTTTTATTGCAGATCTCATTTTAGAGAGCACTAATATCTATATCCTGAGCCAAATGAGGCAAAAAGAAAAGCTATTATTATATTATCCCTTCATAAAAGGGTTGATTGTATTTGGACTATAGGATATCATTATTAACAATGGTATTACTGATAATATCTTACATTAGTGCTGGAGTGTACAAAACAGTCAGCGTTCATTCGCATTTGATTTTCATAACAGTCTGATTAGGCTGAATAAGGTTTATCTTCATTTAAACAGAAAAAAGATTGAGAAAAATTGTGGCGTACCCTATAGCATATGGACAATAATGGAGTATGCATTATTGACATCTCTTAGCATATATTTAGACTATAGTTTATATTTTTATTTTGTAGATGAAAATAAACTGTTACCTACAAGACCAGGATATACAATAGAAGATCATGTAATTGCGGGAAATGTAGAAGAATTTCGTAAAGATTTTATTTCAAGAATATGGCTGACCTACAGGGAAGAATTTCCTCAAATAGAAGGCTCATCTTTGACAACAGACTGTGGCTGGGGCTGTACATTACGAACTGGCCAGATGCTATTGGCTCAAGGACTCATACTACACTTTCTTGGTAGAGGTAAATCAAATCTCTGCTTTTTTTTGGTTTTTGTTTTTTAAATTTGAACTCCAGCTTTCAAACCACATAAAATTCCCTTAGGTTGATTTCCTGACTCCCTAATGTCTTCTAAAGTTGAAACTAATCTAACATATTGCATCTTTATTGAATTGGGTCAGGTATGACTTATACGTAAACTTTCATGATTCCCTTTTCAAAAATACAGGTTAAACATACCTATTATTCTTGGCTACCACCATTAATTAAGTAAGTGCAATTTTTAGTAGCCTTTTTTCAGTGTGGTTATTATTTATTTCTTTTCGATTGAACTCTCTGGATTGTCTCCAGTAAATCCTGGACAGGTCAATAGCAGTGACTTTGAGCAGATGGTTAATATTTTTACATTATTTAAATCATAACAAATTTTACACTGCTTTATTTTCTCTCTACATATCAATAATGCTTTAAAATTATTTTTATTTTTATAAATATGATTGTAATCAGTTAAATGATTCGGCATATTCTTAATAAGATTATCATGCTTAGTCTTTTAGACTCTCAAAAATGTCATTGATACCTAACATACATATATCTTTTTTTTTTCTAGTGTGCCACCTTCTTTACCATTCCTTAGTCCATTTTTTATAATGTGTACATTTGTAGGAGGATTTTAGTCTACCATTTTAGGCTATCATATCTGGTTACTAAGTGCTGTCATTTTTAAATTGTTAGTTTTTCTGAATGCATGGCAAATATTTAGTAACCTTTCTATAGGAATTATTGATGAGATCAGAGAGAATGTTTATTCAAAAGTGGTGTGGGTCATGCAAGGAAGAAGAATTTTTAAACTCTGGGATGATTTATTTGTAGTCTTGTGAAATCAGGGGCAAGAGTTGGAATATTTTTCATAGTCTTGACTAGGTCTCTGAATCTAGGACTCATTTTATTAACTTGAAATCACATCTATGTTTGGGGACAGTCTTGTTATTAAAAACAGTGCAGTTGTGGAAATAGTTGACTTTTTTGAGATCTCTAATCTTTAGTGACTTCATTTATTGTAACTTTTCATTTACTGGAGAATTGATATTACTCCTTAAACAATGATTACATTATTCTGAGAGGGTTATATGGGGGAAAAATATTTGGGGGAAAAAATTTAAAATTTCCATGGTCAGACTTCTCTTTTAACATACAATCAAAACAAAATCTGCTTTCTGAAGTTACTTTCTCACAGATACTCTGAATGTTAGTGAATGTGTTTATTGTGCCTTTGGGTGGCCAAGACTGGATGTCTGATAAGCAGTACTGGTAATGGAATACAAAAGTCTTTATTCCATCTTAGCACTGTCAAAGAAAAGAAAAAAAAGCATATCCAGAATTGTCTCTGTATAACCCATATGAATTTAAATGCTGCATACTTATTTTAGTAGAATTGTTAAAGTCTAACTATTTAAAAGATCTGAACACCTTGCTTTGGAACTACTGTAGCTTGGACCTGGCCTGATGCTTTGAACATTGAAAATTCAGACTCTGAATCATGGACTTCCCACACTGTAAAAAAATTTACTGCATCATTTGAAGCATCGCTGTCAGGGGAAAGAGAACTCAAAACCCCAACAATTTCTCTGAAGGAAACAGTTGGGAGGTACTCTGATGATCATGAAATGCGAAACGAAATTTATCACAGGAAAATCATCTCTTGGTTTGGTGATTCCCCCTTGGCTCTCTTTGGCCTACATCAACTAATAGAATATGGAAAGAAGGCTGGGAAAAAGGCTGGAGATTGGTATGGACCAGCTGTGGTTGCTCACATTTTAAGGTAAAATTGTTTTACAATCTTTCATATTATGGTAGAGGTCCTCAGGCTCAGAGATACTGATTTTTGCAGTGTATATATGTAACTGGAACTTTAAAGTCTAACTGTATGAGAATATTCATAAAGGAGCTTTTATTTCCAACATTTTGCAACTCTAGTTACATTTAATTTAATGACAGAGTTTTCTTCTTTTGCTCATAGGTATAGATATCTAAGGTCTCTTTCTAACCAGGTTTTCATTAGACTACCTTATTGAATTGTTCTAAAAACTAACAACTCTTTCAACCTTGGAACATGCATAACATTACAGTTGTTTTTTTAATAGTATAACCTGGGGCTGTAATGTACTGCTAACATAATGAAATGTCAAGAACCAAAATGGATGTTTTCAGCATTTCTTTGCACACATCAAATTCTTGTGAATTGTAAATGTGTGGGACTATTAATATTCTAATTATATCATAGTAAAAGTAGAGCGTCTGTGACAGAATAGTTAGAAAAAACAGTCAAAAGTCAAATTTCACTATACCTCATGTTTTTATATGCCACTTATTTGGATACTACTTAAATTTTTAAAAAAATTTTCTTATTTGTTGTATATCCCATTATTATTATAGACAATTGTGAATAGGTCATCCAAGCATAGTATGTTGTAGTAAATTTATTCCATTTAGAATCATATATAAATTTGAAATTATTACCAAATTTTTTGCATATTATATTAAATTGCTTTTATATTTTAAAGGCCAGATGCTTACAGTTGAAAAAGTATTTACATAATGTTATTAAATGGATTGTTAATAATAATATCAAGTTCAGCTTGTTATGACATTTATAAAAGCATAATCATAAAAGGATAGCTTCTGTTCGTCAAGATACAGAAACTTTTTCTGTAAAAGGCCTGATAGTAAATATTTTAGTCTTTGTAGGCCCTATAAGGGCTCTATTGCCCATTTTTCTGTTCTTTCTTTCTTTTTAAAAGCAGGCCTTTAAACTGTACAAACCATTCTTACCAAAGAAACAGGCCACAGGTCATACTGGGCCTGCGGGTCATAGTTTGCTGATCCTTAGTCTCTGTTAACACATACAAACATGCATAATAAGGCATGTTAAGTTAAAAATTATAAAGATACAATTAAATAACATATTTAAATGTCTACAACTTGTGTAATTTCCTTTTACAAGATATTGTGATTTTTAAAAAATATTGTCCACCTTTTTAAAAAAAAAATGTTTTTATTAATTTTAGAGAGGAAGGCAGAGGGAGAGAGAGAAGCATCGATGGGAGAGAGAGAAGCATCTATGGGAGAGGGAAACATCTGTCAGCTGCCTCCTGCTGCATGCCCCCTATTGGGGATGGAGCTGCGCCCACAACCTGAGCAGGCACCCTGACTGGGAATCAAACCAGCAATAATGCTCAGCCAGCTGAGCCACACTCGCCAGGGCTATATTGCACACCTTTGAGAACATCACAGTCAGAAATATTTTTCAATTTGCAGTTTTACTTATAGAATTCTAAGACTTGAAATTAGGAAATTCATTTGTTCAGGTCATAAAGGTTTTTGAATGAAGGGGAAAAAGTCATGCTATTGTTTAAAGAAAAGAAAAAGACTTTCATAGGTGTACCAGAGGACAATCTAACGGTGATTCACTGCTAGTCAGTAATGTAAGTTAATATGAAGTAAACCTCGAAGCATATTGTGATGTCATTGGTTAGCAAATGTTTAATGTTCTTTGAGTAATTTAGTGTACTGTTCAACTTTGAAAAAATTGACCTGATTTTTTTTTTTTAATTCTTACCTGAGGATACTGTTTTCATAACTTTTCAGAGAAAGTGGAATGACGGGGGAGGGGGGGAACAGGACGGGACATTGATGTGAGAGAGAGACATCGATTGGTTGCCTCCCGCACATGCCCCTACTGGGGCTGGGGAGCGAGCCTGTAACCAAGGCACGTGCCCTGACCGGGAGTCGAACCACGATCGCTTGGATTCTAGGTCGATGCTCAACCGCTGAGCCACGCCAGCCAGGCCAGATGATCATTTTGAAAGGAGACGCTATAGGTTAAATTAGAATGTCAGGAAAATGATGGGTTTCTTTCCTCTGAAATTAAATCTTCAGTTACCAACTGGAAGCAGTAGTTAGGCTTTTAAAGTATGATGCTTGTTATTTCTTAGAAAAGCAGTTGAAGAAGCAAGACACCCTGATTTACAAGGAATAACTATTTATGTTGCACAGGATTGCACAGGTAAGGAATGTATATAATTTAAATTTTCATCTGTTCACTTGGTCAGACTTTTTCATATGTGTTTAGCTTATCCCAATTATATTCTAAATGATTGTGAAGGTAGGGACCATGTCTTACACATTTTTGTTTCTATATAACACCCTACTCATAGTAGGCACTTATTAAATATTCCTTAATATACTATGTATTCTTAGTTGTAATATTAAAATAAGCTGTGAAAGAAAATTTCGATATTTAAAATGACTACCTTAAAAAAGCTAGATGGTAAAATTTAACATAGGTATGGGTATGTTTCAAGGACGGAAATTTCTTCATTTGGACATGTTTTGCAGTAGTGCTTCAGTACATCATCTGATAATGATGCAGCTATTGTCCAGAATTTTGCCTTGTTTTTTTGTTTTGGGTTTTCTATTAAAGCAAGGCTATCTTGATAACTAACTAGCGCTTATAGTGTGGAAAGAACGGTAACCAAATACCATTTGTACTTTGTTTGGTCTTTTGTAAAGGTTAATTTTATTTTTTAATTAAAAAAAAAATTTATTGATTTATTTACTGTGGCATTTTTGTAGCTCTGGTTTAGACCAGTGGTTTTTAACTCATGTGCCGCAAGAATTTTTAAAACATGCAACACCTGACTGTTTAGTCAGGGGCAGTCACCTCTTTTCCCTTAGATTGTCAAATAAAAAATTACAACAGCCAATATAACAATAGCCAGCCAGTGTGAATGAATCAAAATTAATACCTTTTTTTTTTTAGATTAGCTAAAAATATATTTTTTGGTGTGCTGCAGAATTTTAGTAATTAGTTTTCATGTGCCATGAGATGAAAGAGGTTGAAAATCGCTTGTTTAGACTGACTGTAGGAAATAGGGAAGCTTGTGTACAGAGAATCTGATAGCTCATAGTCTAAATTTAGAATTTAAAGGGAAGAACTGGGGCACAAGAGTCAGAATTTGTTAATCAGTTAACTGGAAGGGGAGCAGAGTTTGGTTAAACTGACAGGGAGTGTGGATGGAAAGTAAGTTTTTAATAAAACTATTTTATGTTGAACAAAACAAAATTAAGTTTTGTCTGTATTTGCTTCCACCTAATTCTTTCATTTTCTCAAATTACTCCACTTAGGCTCTCCCATCCCTCATTCCACCAAAACTGCCTTTATCAATAATTTAATCTTGCTAAATCCAGTGGTCACTTCTCGGCCCTCACGTCACGCGGCCTGCTGGGAGCAGCTGACACAGCCGGCCACTTCCTCCTTTGCTGTGTAACATTTTGTTTACTTAGTTTCCAGAACATTACTCTTCAGGTTCCCTCTCTCTCCTTGTCCACTCCTTCAGTCTCCTTTGCTGGCTTTTCCTGATCGCCCCGATCTCTGAAGTTATTGGTGTGCTCAGCCTTTAGACTCCATCTCTTTTTCTGGATTTGAATTCACCCAGCCTCATGGCTTTACAGTAAGTGCCATCTGTCTGCTGTCAGTACCCAAATTTATAGGTCCACCCTGGGCCTCTCCCCAAATCCGGGCTTTTATGTCCGTAACTGCCAGCTCACCCTCCCTGCTTGCGTGTCTAATGGACGTGTCAAACTTAGCGTGTCTAAAACTGATTTCCCAGTCCCCCCTCTTATATTTTCCCCTCCTACGGTCTTCTGTGTCTCTGTAAATGGCAGCTCTCTTACTGTTTGCTTACACCAAAACCCTTCACATCTCCTGTGACCCCTTTGCTTCTCACACCTTACATCCAATGAATTAGGGAGCTCTTTATCTTCATCCTGATCCGCCTCCACATGACCATCCTGTGACCGTCCCGTCTTCATAATTACTGCCTTTGTTCCAGCCGTCATCATCTCTTGCTGAGCTGCAGCAGTGGCTCTCTAGCTGTTCCCTGTGCTTCAGCCCTTGCCCTACAGTCTGTTGTCAACACATGAAGCAGACTGGTGAAGTGTAAGTCGGAGCAGGACTTTCCTTTCCTAAAAAACTCTTTAGTGGCTTCCCATCTCACTTCACTTAAAAACTGAAGTCTTTACAATGGCCTTTAAGAGTTCATGCAATCTTGTCTTCACTCTCTCCTAATCTGTCACTTTATCTCCTTACCTCATTTCTGCTCCAGGGCTCCTTGGCCATTTCCCTTCAGAGGCTCTGGCCTCTGATTCCTGGGATATGATATGCTAGCTGTGCTTCTGCCCTAAGGCATTTACACTTTTTTCTTTCTACCTGGAATGTTCTTCTCCCAGGTATCTGTATTACTGGGTTTCTTACTTTATGTCTTGACTTAAATATTAGTTTCTCATAAGACATTGCCTGTCACCTGATTTTAAATTGTCCCTGCCCCTAGCATTTCCTGTCATCTTTTGCCCTTTGTTTTTCTTTGAAGCACCCATCACCATTTGACACATGTTATATTTTATTTACTTATTGCCCATTTCCCCATATTTGAGTGTATGCTCTCCGAAGACAGGGATTTTTCTCGTTTGCTCACTACTGAAGCCCCAGTGCCATACAGTAGCTACTCAATAAGTATCTATTGAATGCATATACGAGGTAGGTATGTTTAACTTGTTGAGACCTTGATAGTGATGTCAGAGGTCAAATGACTGGCCAGTGTGGGGGAAAGTGGGGAAAAAATGTTTCTGAGAACATTTAATACATATTCATTGTGTTTTTTTTCAGTTTACAGTTCAGACGTAATTGATACACAGTGTGCTTCCATGGCTTCTGGTAATGCAGATGACAAAGCTGTTATTATTCTGGTTCCTGTTAGACTTGGTGGAGAAAGAACCAACATTGACTACTTGGAGTTTATAAAGGTAGGCAATGAGAGCTCATTTTTTTAAAGGCAGTGTTAGCTCATCTGAAAAATACAAAAGATTTACAATGTTTTTTTTCTATTAAATGGGTAGTGATGATTTTGTACTTGTAGATTATAAAGTTCGATATTAGAGATTTTAAAAAAAAGATTATAATTGATTTTTAGAGAGAGAGGAAGGGAGAGGGAGAGAGAGAAACATCAATGTGTGAAACATCCGCTGCCTCCTGCACGCCCCCTACTGGGGATCAAGCCCGCAACCCAGGCATGTGCCCTGACCAGGAATATATATGGCAACTTTTAAGTGCATGGAATGGTGCCTAACCAATGGCCACACCGGCCAGGGCTGACATTAGAAATTATAAATTTCAGTATTATAAGATCACATGTGATTTGAAGAATGCAGTGTTCTATGACAAAATGAAAAGCCTTTTAATCTGTGTAGCTAATCAAGGAGACACAAATGCAACAAAAATCATAACCTGTAATATGTCTGTATTTCCCATTATTGTTATTTGTGGGGTTTTTGGTTTTTAAAAATATATATCTTTATTGATTTCAGAGAGAGGAAGGGAGAGGGAGAGAGAGAGATAGAAACATCAATGTTGAGAGAGTCATTGATCGGCTGTCTAGCCCACAACCCAGGCATGTGCCCTGAACGGGAATCGAACCCCGATCTCCTGGATCCTAGGTCAATGCTCAACCGCTGAGCCACACCCGGCTGGGCATTATTTGTGGTTTTTAAAAGTGTGTACATTTATTAATTCATAAAACCCACATTAAACTATGTCAAGTGATTATTGAAACAAACTGACTTTTCTATTATGGCTGCATTATCTATTAATTTGTTTCCTATGTCACCATGAGGTCAATAAGAAGTTAGGATGATTATTTGTATATACAGAAATGATGAAAATAGTATGGGGAGAGGTTCCAACTTTGTTTTCTTCATGTTAACCAGTTAAAAATCTGTTGTATTTCAGAACACAAAATTCTTTTTTCCTAAAGAACCTAATTATGTTACCTCATTTGGGGCACGAATATATTCAGTTGTCATAAAACTTTAACTTTTGAAATACTTAGTTTCTGGTCAATAATATAATATAGTATTTATATTATTTTCATAGTTTTAATAAACATTATTTTTTAAGAGCAGAGATGAAGATTCCGTTTTGAATGGAGTGTTAAGGGATATAGTGATCTTGAAATAAAGTCTAGGTTTTTGTTTTATGATTCAGTAACAATTTTTCCCCCACATGAAGCATTAATCCCATATTGTAGTCCCTATGTATCTGGTGGAAAATGTATACTCAGGTTAAATAGTACTGATTTTAAAAATCTAGAACAGTTCTTTTCAGTATGTGGTATATGGAAGTCTTCTAGCTGGTATATTGGCTTTTCCTAACAGTTACTACATTTTTGTAAGCACACTTGTTACTAATAACACCAATATATTAATAACATATGAATCCTTTAGATAGAAATGGGGCCTGGGTTCTTTAGTAGAGCTATTGGTAGAACGTGCAAAGTTATGAACCATTTCACCTAGAGAGTCCATTGAGGGTTTTGAGACTTGGGGCATCTTGTCATGTCTCAGTAGGTTCCAACCAATTCTGAACTGGATTCCCTCCCGTTTTTCTACTACCATGAAAAGATTAGGAACTGAGCCAGCCTTGGAACTGACTTCTTTAGCCAAAACCCCATTGTGGTGGAGTGGGCTGCAGATGGCTTCGAGGCATGTTAAATCTGGCGAGGGCTTTGCTATTTGGTGGCATTGATAGTATCTATCAGATGGTGGGACTGCCTCATGCTCCCTAGTGATTCATTGGAGCCTGACTTGTGGTGAAACGAACCGTGGTCAGCATATAGGAGTTGCTCAACAAGTATTTGTTAACTCTCATATTTGTATAACACTTTCAAAACATATTGATCTTGTTTGCCCTCACAATAGCTAGGAACTGGATTGTCTTTATAAAACAGAAAAGACAGAAGTTAAGTGATATGTTCAAGCTCAGATAGCAAATTGGTTCACAGACTAGACCTTTGGTTGTTTTTCATATTTTTCCATATAGTCTGCTAAAGTGGGAGAGCAGTGACTATTGAAACATTTTAATTTTTCCTTCATCTCTACCCATCCCTTCCCCCCCTTTTTCCTGTCCCTCTGCTTCCTTCCCCTCCTTCATTAGCAGTTGTATTTTTCCCTTTGAAACCATTCTATACTATGTTCTCTCAAATTCACTGTTCAGTTGTGTTTTTCAACATTTCAGAGATGGTACCTTGTCCTTTATCATTCCGCGAGGAGAAAGGAATTTGGGGTGGTGCTTTGTCAGCCCTTACACAGGAAGTTTGTTTGTTTGTTTATTTGTTTATTTGTTTTTAAGGGATACAGAATGAGGAAAATCCTGTATGTTCTTTCTTCAGCAAGATAAATTAGGACTTTCCTTATTGACTGACGACTTCAGTCTTTTTTATTGTTCCATGGATACAGCTCAATAATTTCTCACCACTAGATAAATGTGAAGAAGTTTTCTTTAGGAACAGAAAAGTGTTTCAAGTTTCCAAAAATACAGCCTCTTATATGCAGTGGTGTTCTCGCTCCCAGTCTGCTCCTGAGTGTTTATTGCTGTATCTGCTCGAGTCTGTTGTAAAGGAAATATAGATGCCAGGAACCAGAGTCTTTCTCCCATTACTTGGACTCATTCTTCTGAAGAAAATCAGTAATGATTTTTTCTTGGCTATGAGGGACTTAAAATTTTCACTTCCTCATGGGCCCCTATGTCATAAGCATTATGTTTCAGCTGATCAGGTAACCTCAAGTTAAAGAAAGACACTATTTGTGTTAGGACTTTTATTTAGGGGGAAAGCAGTAGATTCATTAATGATAAATACTATTATTGTCTAGTGGTTTGTTTGTTTTTTGGTATAATTTCATCTTAACTTATTTTTTAGTTAGCTCTAAAATTTTAATCTAATATGCCTTCTCTATTTCATTTAATTTTTTTACAGTTGCAGTTCTCCTTTCCAAAAAAACCCCTCTATATTTTTCATAAGACTGAAAGAGTTATTTATAACAGTAAGAACCTGAAAACAATTTAAATATTCATAATGGGGGTTTTAAAGCACATTTTGTTATTTTCATAAAATAGAATATTTTATAGTCATTAACTATAATATAGGCCTATATTTATTGACAGGAAATAATATTTATGATATAATGAGTGACAGAAGTTACAAGTATACATTATATGATGCCACATATATAAAATTGTATTTGTAAGTCTATCTGTGAATATAGGTAATATAGATAATGAAGAAGTTTTCCCCCAAAATGTTAATTATGATGAACTCTGAGTGTTGGGGTTTTGGGAAATTTTTACTGCATGTGTTTTTATTACAATGACCACGTATTTTTAAGAAAATAATTGAGCTTAAAAAAATACTATCATTTGATTACTTATTAAAGAAAAAAAAGCATTTGTTTATATATTCTTTATTTTTATATCTTCTAGATTTCAAAACATCCTCTCATTTATGAGAAGGAAAGTTTAATTATTGTTTAATACTTTGGTGTTTTTTTTTTTTTAAATAACATACACTTTATCACTGTTAGTGTTTCCTAACAATATATGCTAAAATTAGTGCAGGATCTATTGACAAGGCATGAATTGATCCCACTGGACATATTTTTTAACTGAGCCTACTGGAATTTTTTTTTTTTTTTAGGTATAGGGTTATTTGGCCCACCTTAAATAGAGTTCTGCTTAGACTAGATGCTGAGGGGCATACCAAATAATTTATTGAGGTATCTCTGGTATTTTACAATTAGTGAAATAAATTGGCTTTAAATACAGTAGTAATTATTATTTTCCTTGGATTAAAACATTTTCATTAGTCCTTATATTTATTCCAAATAAAGTAGCATAAAAAAATCTTTCAAGTAAATGCCATTGATTAGAAAATGGTTGTTAGTTTGGGTGGGATTCTAAGATTCTGGGTTCAATGAAAACAGTAACAACGTCTAAGGAATATTTCTAGCCTTTCAAAAAGTCTGACCAAAATACATTGATTACAATAAGGTTGTGCCAGCAATGAAAGGGCCTGGTGTTTTGATTTTAGCAGGAAATTTTATTGTCTTTATGTGGTAACGTTGTCTATCTCTATAGTTGGCACACAGTTGTTGTTTGATGTTGAGTGACATGTTGGTCAGAATAATTGATTTAGTCATGTTAATGTTGAGTGAGTTAAAGACGAGGGAAGATAGTTCAGTAGACAGAGTGATTTCAGAACAATGTAGTAAAAGTAAAACTGGTGGTGAAAATTTGGGAACTACTAATATTAGTAATACAAATTTGCTTGTTTTGAATAATTGCCATTTGTCTCTTGACTCTAAATCTGAATTAATTTCTTTTGGCAGGGTATTTTAAGCCTTGAATATTGTGTGGGAATTATTGGTGGCAAACCAAAGCAGTCATATTATTTTGCTGGATTTCAAGGTTAGTGATTTAGTAAAGTATATTTCTTCATTGTTTTCTTTTGAAAGTCAGTAAGTTAATACGGGATCATCTGGAAGCGGGCTGATTAACAGAGCAAAATGAGTGCCTTATAAATTCATCAGTCCTACCGTAGCCACTCATTTGTCATTTGGTCCACAACATAATTAGATTCTGCAAAATGTATGTTTAATTTCTGTTATTGCATAAACAAGGCATAATTTATTGGTTTCACTAAACTTCAGAAGACATCGCTTTCACATTCTGGCAGTTGCTATTTACATATTTACTTTTTACCAGGTTTAGTGGTGCTAGTTGATGATAAAATGACAAGCAATATGTTCTTCCTGTCAGGATAAAGTAGCACGATACATTTTTCATGTGCAAACTGTAGAATATAATTGTGTGTTTGTGAAAGTAATTTTATCACCAAAAATTAAATGACAATCTCATCACTTTATAAAAATTCTGCTTATACAAGCATATTTGATTATGCAGAAGTTAATCTGTCCTGTGCAAACCTATGTTTCAGTCAATGAATATCAGTCTGGCAAGCTGTTACTCCCAGATTTTTTTCAGCTATTCTACATAGAAATTGGATTGTAAGCAGTGTAATAATAAGGTGTTTTTTGAATTACTTGTCTTCTGTTTTGTCCTTGTAGATGACAGTTTGATTTACATGGATCCTCATTACTGCCAGTCTTTTGTAGATGTCAGCATAAAGGATTTCCCTCTTGAGGTACTATGGATTAAGAGCTGTTTTCTTACCATATGAAAGAAACTCTAATTATTTAGAGTTGTGCTAGGCAGTTAAGCTTTTATGGTATTACAATTATAGCTTAATAATCAATATTTTACTGACTTATAAAACCATAACCCACACCATGGTCAAAGGTTAAATAATTTCTTGCTGATTTTTAATTTATGATATACCTTTTTTTCCCATTTATCTTTTTCTCTAACTTGTTAGATACCCTAGCCCTACCAAAATAATTGAGCAAGCCTCCAAGTAATTTTGTAGATATACAGCTGAGCAGTATTGAAGAATAAAAATGTTAGACATGTTTAAAACAAGGAAAGGAGGAAAAATGGGGTGAAAGAAGATGATGGAGTAGGGTTAGAATGAGAAGGTGACTTGAGACCATCTGCTAAATTATTTTGCTGCAAGTCTAATAATTAAACCTTAGCTTCTAGTTAAGAAGTTTTTAAGAGTTTAGTTGGGTTTCTAATTTTTGTTTTAGCTTTGATTTGTAACAACTTATTTTCCTTTATGTCATTTTGTGATCCAGTATTTTAGTTCAGAAAATCTGAGAGTGCATAAGTGAGACATGTAATTATTACATTGTTTTTGGATCTTGTTTTCCCAGTTGATGCTTTTACAGACTTTTAAAATAATTTTAATCATTTGAGTGGCATGGATCACTAATTCTCAAGGGCTTGACAAGTTAGAAATGTGGTTTAGTACTTTGCGTTAGTAATAGCTTGCTAGCTAATAGGAATACCTAAAAATATTTAAGGAGAAGGTTATGAAAACCAATCAACTACAAGATTAAAATATGGTTCAGAAAGACACATTATAAAACATTCTAGCACCCTTTGTAAACTGTTACCTCAACTAAAGCACAAGCAGCCTGAAGCCAAAGATCAGGCTTGCTTTCTACTTTCTTCCTTCACAGTATCTTGCATGTAGACCTTAGTAAATATTTCTAGTTGACTAACTGATACTGGGGGAGGCACTAGAGAATTATGCTGTTAGAACCACATTGTAATTCTTTCTGCTCCCTTGTGATCTGTGACAATGATTCCAAAGTTACATTTCTAGTGTACATGTGCCAAAGTGACTCCTTAAAAATGAAGATACTGGAGATTTCTAGTGTTACCTAAATAGCCGAATTAAAAGATGACCAGTGTTCATTATTTTGACCAGTAGAGAGAGACTAGTCATCTGATATTTTGAGAGACTCTGCAGAGATGCCAGGTCAGTGAACATCCTGGTTATGTCTAGACAATCAGTATTAGAAAGGTTACAGCTCATCGTTGGGAGATTGTTGCAATACCTCAAGGTGAGTCAATAAAAGCTTTAAGTACGGTGATAGTAATGAGAATGGAAAAGAATTTATTTTAATGCACAGAAGCATTTATTTCTTATATAAGAAATTAGGGTTAGATGTTATATTTTTGAAATGCTGCTGGAGTATCTCAACCTGTCTGGGTAATTCCTCTGGACAATTTTTCATTTTTCTCAATTCAGGGATTTATCTTAGATTTTTTTGAATAGCATCATTTATTTTCCTATGAGAATATAATGTAAAAATTATAAGAAGTTGTCTTTGTACAGAAATAAAATTTTACTTTTTATCATATTTTAAGCTTAACATGGCCCAGGTGGAGATATTTTAACAACCCTGTATTACTAACCATCCTTGCCTTGCTATGTTGGTTGTGTGTTTATATGCTATGAGATTTTGCAGTTGATTGATGTAATAAATTATATGCATGTTCTAAACCACCCTTATACCTCAATTATTAAAATTATTCTTGAAAGCAACTTTTTTTGATCAATACTTCTTTTGGTCAATAGATGGAGAAATTAAGATCTTAGATCTTTTATTCAATTCTAGGTAAATAATTTCTATAAACAATTTAAGGGAGTTCCCTTAATTCCATAGGATTATGAAACTTTAAGAAAGTAGTATGATATCAAAATATATGAGATCGAAGGAGAGATTTAGCAGATTATATATTTTGTTGTTGTTCTTGTGGTGTGGAATTCCTATAGTTCAAGTTGAACTTCTAAAATTTTGAAACCAAATCAGACCAAGTTATTTCTTTCTTTTAAAACTATCATTAATTGAGCTCTTTCTCTATACAACGCACCATCCTAAGCACTTTTATTAGAGTCCTTTGTGGAACTCTTTTCTTACCTGTAGCTCCAAATGCTTTGATTATATATATTTGTATTAATTTTTAATTCTCATGACTCTTTCTTCTAAAATATATTGTTATATACTGTTGGATTTCTATACTAACTTTTTGGAGAACCTTCCTCATCTTTAGCTATCCGCACGGAGTTTTTAACATGGTAAAGTGAGTGTAAGGGGCCATATTCAGTCCTGAGCTTGGTCATGGGGATATGCCAAAGCCATCCTTGGTTCAGACTGAGGAACGGATCTCACGGTTTACCGCCAGGGCACGTTATATCGTGTCGACTCATACTCTCTAGTTTTCATTTGGAGAATGGGATTCAGAGATGCAGCGTGAACAACCAAGGGAAAAGTCGTGAAACCAGGTCACTGGAAGTTAGAGGGAATGACAGGAGCTCTAATGTGCCTTAGCAGTGGGAGTGCGCTTAATTGTGGGCTTCGGTCGCCGTCAGTGCTTGGGGCAGGGAAAAGTGTCAGTTTCAGCTGTTGGGATGAGAGATTGTGTGTGTGTGTGTGTGTGTGTGTGTATTTAATAAGTTAAGATTTCCTAAACCAGAGACTTGCTTCATGTTATAGTTTTGGAATGACCCATTCTAATTCTTATGAACACCAAACTATTCTATTAAGGTAATTAATGTTTTATTAATAAGGTAAGAAAAGCCTTATTGGTCCTTACGTTAGTTTGTTCTAATTCCTGGGCCCCCAATTTCAAGTTTCAGGTTTTAGGTTCATACAGTGGTAACTACTTTAATCTAGCCTAGTAAATTCAGAGAAGACTCGAATGAAAGCTATTAGAATGTGATATGATTAGATAGATGGATGAGTGAACTCATCAGTGGAATATGTACCCTTTATGAATTACACGTGAGCTACAGTTAGTAGGAGGTGCTTCTTAGTAAGTGTATTCCCTAATTAACTAAGGAAACTTCATCTAAATCACCAAAATAGCATAGATATACCTGAAAGCATTTTTTAAATTATTGTTTGTATATTTTGGTAATAGAATCCACTATTCCAAATAATAAGCCTAGGATAGTACCTGGCATTTAGCGTAATAGCTATTTGTTGAAGCAATGAATAAAAAAGTATTGAAAAAATTAAATAAAAGAAAATTGACTCACTGTGGCCAGTTTTTTCAGATATATATTTCATTGTCTCAGAATTGTATCAGGTGAACACTCCTAAAAATGTGTGTGCTACTCTTGCCAATATTCAGAATTTTTTAAATTCAAAAAGGAATAAGTGCATAGTTCAAAGAATTATCACACAGTAAACAGCCTTGTAATACCACTTGGGAAAATATTTAAAAATCTAACTTGTTCTGCAATAAATAGAAATGATTCTGAATTATAAGTTAATGTTGGTTTGACTTCAGAATCTTCTTGGGTGAACAAAAGAATCTAATTTAAGTTTAAATGATATAACATGCCTCTCTGTAACATGATTCCTTGTACTCATGCAGTAACACCCAATAGCAACTTCAGTTTTCAGTGATCAGAGATTTATATCAGTGTTTCTGTGGATAATTACAGTTTTTTGCAGATGTCAAAACAACCATGAATAACGCTTCGGTGTGACTATCTGTGATGATTGAAGCAATACTGTGAAATAGCACTAAGTCTGTTCTGGTTTAGTCTTATTGGTTCTTACATAAAAACTTTAATCAATATTTTAGTATAATGTAGGATGCTGTTGTACATGAGTTAAAAAATATTTTTTTGGACCTTGTACAAACTTTGGTTCTTCTTCTTTATCCCCAAGAAGCAATACGTAAACAAACAAACCAAAAACCAAAACCAAACCAACCAACCTTGCTTTGGAATGACTTAGGCAAATGACTATTTTTAGATACTTTGTATGTAGAATAACTTTTTGTAACTATGACCTAGAACTTTGTGTGCCTTATATACCAATATACTCCTGTATATTGTTAACTAACAAGCTTGCTTAGCTCTTCTGTGCCTTTCCAGGTCTGTTTTTAATGTCTCCTTATAAATAAAACACATGAAACAATGTTAGGAAAAGTGCAACTAAGACAGTACTTGTGTTGGCTAGTACCCTGGAGGTTCCAGCTTAGTTAGGTTGGATCTCACTATATAAAGTAAGTGTTAGCTGAGCACCGTGTGAAAGTCATAGTTCTGAAAGCCCGTTTGGTCTGTATTTACTGCCATGACGTTGTATTTGAATCTTACGTGTGATTGAACTATTCATAAGGGGGGGAGAGGCAGCTTGAATGGATGCATTTTGCATATCCTCTGGTGACAGTGTGGACACTAATGGGATCACTAGGATAAAGGGGGGAGAAGAGAGGGATTTCAATTGGTTCACCAGGAACACAGCAAATATTAAAGCCTGTATTTTCCCACATTTTGGTAGATGGCTTCTAAAACTAAGGTAAATCCCTTAGCTTTAGGCATTAAATGTAGGGAAAATTTAATTTTATGAGTTCAAATTCAGCATAGATTGTTTCTCAATTGAGCTTGTTCTTAAAATAAAAAATATAAAGTATACAGCGCAGAATTTCCATACCTGTCTCCCATCTGCCCAGTTTTCTTCCTCTCCCTTAAGCTTGTTAATTTTTGTATATCCTTATAAAATTTATTGACATACATATAAGTAAATGAGTATATGTTTTATGGCCCTCTTTTGTTCATGAACATCTTTTTCAATATATACAATAAAAGACTCAGTAGCATCAGTGATATTTAAGGACAAGAGCATTTAAGCAGGTTTAAAAAAAAAATCTTTAACACCAAGTACCAGAATGTGGTGGAGAAGGAAGAGAAGATTGGGATGATTAGCTTTACATTCTGCCCCTTTCCTGCCTTCGTATCTCTGGAGATCCGGACACTACGAATAGCCGCGTCCCACCAGCAAGGGCAGCGAGGCTGCAGCAGCCTCCCCGGCCCATTTCCCCCTGCTGCCCGGTGACCACCTGAGGGCAGGGAGCTGAAGGGGCCGGAGGCCTGGCAGGAGGGAGGCAAGGCCTATAGCAGAACAGTTTTCACCTGTGTCTTGTGTGGGGTGAAACAAGAACTTAAAGCAAAGAAGAATGGGTTGGAAGACTATGCAGTTACGTACTAATTGTGTCAATTGCTAAAACTCTTAAGTTGACATCTTTTCATATGACTGGAGCATTTTTTTAAAAATTAAATTTATTGGTTAACAAGATTACATAGGTTTCAAGTGTACATTTCTATAATACATCATGTGTATCTTGCATTGTGTGCCCACCACTATGGAACACTTACATGAATCTGTGTATTTGTTGAAAATGTCTTGACATCCTTATTTAAAGGTTTATAAACATTAAAAAAACTCTAATGAAACATACATCCATAGAAATGGCTAACTTGATTCTAAACCTTGTATTAGCTTATTCATATATTCTTCAGTGGCACGTTTCCTCCCCTTTTGAAGTGTTAGCAGTGCACACCACTTTGACATGCTTTCTTTTGCAGAATGGCACTAATGTCACATAAGCAGAGATTTGGTGAATTGAATGTACACAGCGTTGGCGGTCATATTTTACAGCTTTGGAGAGTAGGAAGGACTGTTTGCATTAGATAGACTAAAACACCATTTGAAAAGCATGTTTAAGTTTTGAGAAAAGCCAGGTATCGAATTTTAAATTAGTAATATTCTTGTATGTAAGTCCATCAAATAAAAGTAAATTAATCCTAAAGAACTTTTAAAATTACAGACATTCCACTGCCCTTCTCCCAAAAAGATGTCATTTCGAATGATGGATCCTAGCTGTACAATAGGATTTTACTGTCGAAATGTTCAGGACTTCAAACGAGCTTCTGAAGAAATCACTAAGGTACTTTTATTTAAAATATTATAATAATATTTGTAAATGAGCTAATTTTTATTTGAGATAGCCCATGAAAAGACAAAAATATGTAAATTTTGATACTTTTGTAAAATTGCCTCTCGAGTGTTAATGTTATTACGAATATTCAACCAGAAAATAAAACTGTTTGGGGATTCCTAGCCTTTGATACTGATGAAACCACTACTGTAGTGAACAGTCAAGGGTATTGATTGCTCCACTAGGTGGCACTGTTGAAGTAAAAATCCCTTTGCAAATGGATTAGGTTATATGTGCAAGCAATTAGGTTATATTTTATTTGAAGAGGATTTTAAAAGGGCAATACCTTAGGGGGTAGAAAAAAATTAATGAAGTATTTGATCAAGCCAAATTGTGCATTATTTCTTGTTAGTCCAAGTGCTTCTTTGGTTTTTTTAAAAAGAGAAATGGTATTTTTGGATTTCTCAGAACTGCTTTATCAAATGAGCTGTGTTGTTACCTTCCAATAAGCTTGTCTAATCTGATCTATTCGACTTATAGGATCTTTGAAATAGGTTTATTTAACTCCCTCTCATTACCTTTAAACTTCTGCATTTTTCTGGTCCTTGAGTACAGTACTGCTAAACATTAATAGAGCCTCATGGATTGTCTATATTCAGTACTTTAGAAAATAAAAAAGATTACTTATTGGGGAAGTAAGCATAACTGGATAGGTCTCTAATTTATTAGTATCAGTAGCTATAGATTATCATTTTATGGGTAAGTAAAACCAATACTAGAATCACTTTTGGGAATTCTTAACTTGAGCTCAGATATGATAGTACCTTATTACTGCTTTACTCACAGTTAATTTTTTTAGGAAAATGGACACATATAAAACATTAAATAAAAGGTTTCATATAAACCAGGTTCACTTTACTTGACCTGCCCTGTAAAGAGGAAATTTAAGAAAACCATGACAGAAGAGTGAATGAGGCGAGGAGGAAATGAGATATGTGAGGGCCTGTTCTTATTCTTCGTTCCTCACAGTTGTCGTGTTTTCATCTCCATTTGCAACCTGGAAGGCCAAGTGAAAATAACAGAATATGCATTCTACATTCCCCTCTTTTATTACTTGAAATTAGTAATATTTCTATATTTTAGTCTGACAATTCTCTGTCTTTATAAAGTATTGTGTATGTGCTAAAATATATAAATCCAGGTGGTATTATGATACAGATTGATACTGATGAACATACTCCATTAAAAAGTTCCATTTTCTCTTTCTATTAATTTATTTTCTATCTCGATTAAAATAAGTCAGTTTGAACAGTAAAGCAGCCTACTCCTGGAATAGAAACAAACCAAATTATTATTATCAAGTTGAAAAACAAGATTCACAAATGAATTGCACGTTGATGTTTTCTCATTAAAAACATGTTTTTTATACTGATAGTTATTAGGATTTTTACATCAGAAAAGTGCTTAGAAATCATTGCTCTTAATCTATCAGAGTAATATACACTATTGAGGCAAAGAGAAACCATATTGAAGTATCATTTGGAAGTACTGAGAATTTTGTAGAGTCAATTAACTTTGCTTTAATGATAGTATTGTTCTTAAGTTAATAGCTTTTTGTAGCAGTATCAGAAACTCACTTTGTCAGTTAATAACTGGATTATTTACTTTTGCTTGGAAGGTTATAAGTTGAGCAATTTTCCTTTTCTTCCTAAAAACTGATTTTGGCATTTTTAGTAAAATAGTCATTTTTTTCCTCTTTAAAAATAAAAACAATTTAAAATTATTTTTTCTAGATAGGGTGTATTTTGAGTTTTCTCATTTTGAAAGTGCAACTAGATAGTTTAGATTATAATGTTTAATTTATAATGCTGTATGAATGAATATTCTAAATCCTTAACTCCATGACTTTTAAAATGCTATAAAAATTGTTAAATTAATTCTGTGTTTAGCAGAGCTCAGTTCAGCAAGTACCTGAGTAACTATTATATTGAAAGCATAAAATAACGAAGATATAATCTCTACTTTTGAACAAGGTATAAGGCTTCTGCCCTCGAGTAGCATTTATAGTTCAGGAGGGGAATAGACATATATTACATTGAATATTGTAAGCATCCATACAGAAATAGAAATAAATTCATAGGGGAAGGAAGGAAGGAGTGTTGAATTGAGAGGGGTGTTTCATTCAACTCAAAGTTCTTTATTGTGATGGTGATATTTAATTTAGACCTGAAAGTTTGGGCTTAATTTCTGTTGGTTTAGGGAGAAGGATCAGAGAAAAGGTATTGGAAAAGGAAAACGTAGAGCTTGTCAAGAGAATGGCAAATAGTCCAGTTTGGTAGGTGCCAAGGGTACACATAGGGCAGCACTCACTGTCTTCTGGCTGCCTGAATCTCTGGGGTGTGGCCTGGGACTCTCCATTTCTAACAAGTCTCCCAAGGGACCTTGCACAGTAAATCAAAGGTCCACCGGTGTAAGGCAGTGCAACCCAAAGTGTGATACTCGATTTTAGGTAGCACTGGAACAAATATTTTAATACTTATATACTTATTTATATTCATATTAGAAAAATAGAACTGGAATATCAAACATGTGATTTCCTATTTATTATTGATGTCACAAGGCTATTTAAGTTAAAAATGATGGAAAGAGAAATCATAATTATAATAGAGATGGGCTTCATAGCAAAAATAAAGGTATATAAATGTCCAAGGCCTGGGGAACACGGCCAGAGGAAATCGTGAAGGGTGAGGCTAGCAAAGGAGGTCAGTGCATTTGAGAGTCTCAGATGCCATGCTGAAGAAGTTTGTACTTGGCAATATGTTGATTTTATTAATTTCAAGCATACAGAGATACAGAGAATAACATAGTAATACCTATGTGCTGCCACTGAGCTTAAGGAAAAGAATTCCATGTAAAATTGAAATGTGTTACCCATCCCCAATCTTACTCCCTTCCTTTCTTCCCAGTAGTAACAGCTATCCTAAATTTGTGTATAATACTCATACCTTATGTAACCATAAACAGCATATGTTATGAAACTTTTCCATCTGATATATTTATATAAAAATGTATATCCCTACTGCAACCAGCATTTTCATTTAGTAGTGACCTAGAGATTATCTGTTTCTATACATGTGGTCTAGCTTACTCCTTTAAACTGCCTTAGCCAGGTTGGCCTCCTTGCAGATCCTCTGGTCTAACCTAAAAGGCAGGCTCCTGTCTTAGAGCCTTTGCACTAGACTGAAATGCTTTCCTCTTAGATATCTGTGCGGCTGATGCCTTCACCTCCTTTCAGTCTTAGCTTAGATGCCTCCTTCTTAATGAGGCCTAACCTGACCACTTTATTTAAAAATGCCATCTTCCGCCACCATTTCCTCTTACTTGGCCTTTTTCCGTAGCACTTATTACTTTCTAATACACTACACAATTTGCTTATCTATTACATTTATTATTACCTGTCTTCTCCAGTGAAATATAAACTACACAGGGGCAGGAACGTTTTGCGTGTTTGGGTCACTGATGTGTGTGTCTCAAAGCATCTAGACCAATGCCTGTTCAGAGTAAGTATTCAGTATATTTGTAGAATGACTGGAGCTGAGTTTGCAATAGTGAACTGCTGGCTTCATGGACTTGCAGTCTAGTGCAGTGAGTTTCAACCTTTTCCATCTCATGGCACATGTAAACTAATTGCTAAAATTCTGTGGCACGCCAAAAAAAATATTTTTTGCCGATCTGACAAAAAAATAGATATAATTTTGATTAATTCACACTGGATGGCTATTGTTGTGTTGGCTGTCATCATTTTTTTATTTGGCAATCTAAGGGAAGAGAGATCAGTGCCCCTGACTAAATAGTCAGGTATTGCATGTTTTAAAAATTCTTGCGGTTCACCGAGTAAAAATGGATGGTCCAGTGGACAATATGGACTTTAAACACAATGTGTAACAAAAACTAAAATTCCATAAAGGAAAAAAGGGAAATAAAAATAAAAATAGAAGAGACTTAATTTTAATTTGGGGATGCAAAAACATCTTATAAGGTATATTCACTGCATTTTCCTTAAGTTCCCTATAAAGTTGTGACTGGTCCACAAAACCTGCCCTATTTAAACTTACCCTCAAATTAGTAAGAAATCAGCAAGAGAATAGTGAGGGTCCTTCTAATTATAATGGACTTAACACAGTTTCATGACTTGCTTTAAGTATGCCTGTAAGTCTTGAATTGGAAGCAGCTGAAGTGAGCAATAGAGTTTGGTCTAATAGGGATAGTAGATTTCAAGTAGATTTAGGAGTATCTTTTATTTCATTGAAATGGTCAATCATGGAATCCCTTTGGATAGGGAAGCAAATGGTCAGGTAGACTTGAGAGAGGTGGGAGATTTGAAGGTCAGATGAATGTGATGAAGTCAGGTTTACTGGGCGTCCGTCTAAAACAACCACTCTTCCCTCGACCCCTTCTAACTTCAACATCTCTGTGGAATAGTTCTGTTTAATCCTGTCTCTGATCTTTTTATTAATAATCTCCTTCCTCCCTCCCTCTTTCCTTCTCTCCCTCCCTCTTGTCTCTAAGTAGTGAAATCATGTTGTTAAAGTCTTTCATGTTCTTTTGGTTTCTGCATGGTATATAAAATATGTGATAAACGTTTCCATTGTGATTGTGGGTTTGTCCATTTCTCATTTAAGTCTTCCTTTTGTTTTATGTATTTGGAGGCTATGTTATTAGTTACATATAAATTTAGGACTGTTAAGTCTTCTTATTGAATTGACTCTTTTATCATTATATGACCCTCTATCTCTAGTAATATTTCTTTTCTTAAAGACTGTTTTTGTGCTTGGTTGTCATATATTTTAATCCTACATATATTTTAAATTTCACAAGGCATTGCATTTTAAACAGTCAGTATTACCCTTTCTGACGCCCTTCATTCTCTCCTATATTACTCTTCTTTCTTCTGGGATCATTTTGCTTCTCTCTGAAGAACTTTCTTTACTATTTCTTCTCTTGCTGTTTGCTAATGATAAATTCTCTCAGTTGTTTGTTTGAATACACCTTTATTTTGCTTAAGTATGCGGTTCCTTCAAATACATTCTTCTACCTAACTACAATACAATTATTAAAGTCAGAGAAGAAGCACTGTCTTGTCATCACCATGTATCCATCAGAAACTATTCAAGTTTTGCTAATTGTCCCAATGATGCTCTGGATTACTACTGTCTATAAGATTACTATTTTTTATGTTGACTAGATTTTTGCAGAAATATTTTTCCAAATATAGTGATCTTTAGAAAAACCAAACTTAATTTTTAAAAAGCTTTATATTATTGATTTTGGTCATTTTAACAATTCTCTGAGGTAAGGAGATTGGGTACCTGTTGCCCCATTTTATAGATGATACTCAGGTAGAGTGATTTGTCAAAGATCACATCAAGGTAAGTTATAGAACTGAGATTAGAATGGACCTTCTGACTCAAGTTAATGCTTCTTTTTCTGGTATCAAGCAGTCTTTCACAATATTTTACTATAGTCCATGATATAATTTTGTTTCATTGTCTACTACTACTAAAAGGAGATAAATATTAACCCTTTAGAGTAAGCCTTCAAAATAATGTGACCAGAAGATTTACTTTGGGGTGAGGGGGTGGGGGTCAGGGGTAGAAAAATGTACTTAATTTTTTATGGCTAGTCCTAATGGAGAAGCAGGTATTTATCTATAAATAAACTAAACAGTGCTGATCAATTTTGTCTTTTAGCCAGAACGTTAAAGTGATAGTGCTGAATAAATGTAAATGAAAAAAGCTAACAAGAGATTCCAGGCTAAAACGTTAGATTTTTGTCATGTGGTCCTACTGTGCACTGTTGGGTAAAGGGTTCTCCTGTACTTTCTGTTACAGATGCTGAAAATTTCTTCTAAAGAGAAATATCCCTTATTTACTTTTGTAAATGGTCATTCCAGAGACTATGATTTTACATCTACTATAACCAATAAAGAAGACCTTTTCTCAGAGGATGAAAAGAAGAGATTAAAAAGATTTAGTACAGAAGAATTTGTTTTGCTTTAAAAGATAAGCACATTTCTGCTTGATGAGAGGGACTCCTCAAATGGGGAAAATGAAGAGAAACAAGTACATATGAAACTGGTTTATTTTCACAAATATCTTAATTTTATATGTTCTTAAAAAAAATTGAAAATATACACATTTAAAAATATTTTTCTGAGAGAGAAATGATTTAATGAGTCTTGATTTGTAATAACAAGTGATTCTGGCTGCATGACTGTTTCGCTAAGATCTTCTAGTAACGCTACCGTAACTGCAAGCCTTCCAGTCTTTGAATTCTTCCACCTTTTCCTGAAGGTTTTGATACAGGCCCCAAAATTGTGATTACCAAATAGTTTCAAAAGGACCAGAAGAACAGAGAATGAATCTTCTGTGCTGCCTGGCCTCCTGATATTAATGCAACCAGGGGATACTTTTGGATATCTTGATATATTAAATAGTCATTGTTAGCTGTTTTATGCATACAGTTATATAAGTAGAATTGTGAGTTTAGGTAGTATTTAGCAGTATGATTTTATAATGGCTTATCATTTTTATTGCCATTGAGCCTTCTCTGAGGAGTGAATATAAAGTATTGGTTTTCCCCACAAATTTAAAGGTTATGTTACTAACAATAATAGCATCCAATTGGATCAGATAAAGGCAATTTTAAGATAGAGATAGTTATTTGTTTCTTATCTCAAAATTTAAATTTTATGGGAACTCTATTTACTATGCAGTCTTGAAATCTAAAGTTAAGTACCAAGAGAGATATCAACAGATGCTCCTCTATGTGATTTTTGTTGTTTGTATAAATCAGTGTAGTGGTGTTTAGAAGCTGAGGCCTTCTATAATGTAAATCTGCCTTAAGTGTGTTATGTGTTATTTAAAGGCCAATATGTGATATAAAAATACAAGAGTTATTATTGAGCCAAGATTATAAAATAAATACTTTAATAAAGATGTGAGAACATAAAATGCCTTTGTTTTGGTTTTAATGGGATTATTTTAATCCTTTCATTTGAAAAACCATTGTCTCCAATGAAGTCTCTTTATTTATAATGAAGACAAATAATATTGTTGCTCTGAAAGCAAAATATTAACTTATTTTATGGAGCTTCTATGTTTCCTTGTGAAAAGGTGACTTATAAAGACATGAAATTGTACGTCATTTAAAGTCATTGATCTCTGCCATCAGAAAGCCTGTTTGTTAGGTTTAGAGCTGCATGCAAAACGGAAACAGAGGGTAGGCAGATTGCTTTAGTTTGCCTGACGAGAGAAATCGGGGTTGGCATTTCCCAGTGAGGATAGTTTATTGAATTGAAATAAATGGTCTGAAATCTAAAATTTTTCTTTTCCCTAGATAAGATTTGGACAAATTAAGTCCAGTATTAATTTTCCTAGAAGGTCAAAGCAGTACAGGAACAATGGTATGCCCGATTTTACACACTGCAGTCCTCTCATCTAAGTTATTCTTGTACATACCTGCAGAATTCACAGAATACCCAAGCACACTGAATTAGAGCACCCGTATCTTCCAATGAATCAGAACTAATTGTAAGTGTTGTCTTACAAGAACTTTGTAAATACTTCAATTATATGGTAACATTCTGTGCTTAGCATATTTGGGGATCATTTTTAAGTAGGATATTGGAATGAGATAAGATTACACTGGACAGAATGGAGGTGAGAGGAGGCAGAAACTTCCCTTTCCATTGAATTATATTGAAAATACTCAGTATGTTGCATGGACAAAACAAATAAATCTTACCCATACAATCATCCTCATGACTGAGAATGAATGTTCAGAATTAGAAATTATTATTAAAAGAGTTTCATAGTATGTATGAATGAATGTATACATTCATGAAAATTAAGAGAGAGGCTGATGGATCTATCTTGCCTGTTAATTCAACTTCAGCTGAGGACCAGACAGAAAGTTGTGGTTATCTTTTATTGGAAAGGCAGCAATAAAACTGCATCACTCTAATAAGAATAGAGGTACTGTGTATATCCTGGTTTCACATTTTGTTTTAAACACAGATTTCGTTTCAAATTCTGATCAGCCAGTAAAGCTTATGGCTGATCTCTTTCAGCCTGGAATGAAGGAAAGCGAAAAAGGGCAAGACTCTAAGGTGGGTGTTCTGTTAGAATTAGGATGGGAGGGTCCTCCTTTTGGACATCAATATTAAGACACTGGATTTTGCCATTAACATTTCAGAAATGAATTTTTAAAATGCTTGATGTGACTTTTGATGGTGAAGGTTTCTTTTCTTCCTTCTTCCTAAGACTTGACACTTTGAATCCCCTTTTGTCAATGTATTAGCCACCAGCAGGCAATCCTGAGACTCATCACTTACTGAATGAGTGCATGAAAAGGTCCTTTATAGTATAAGTATTTCCGAAAGAATTTCCCTGAAGTATCTATTTTTTTTCAGTTTTTATATTAAACTAATCCCATTAAATCTGTATTAGTGAGAAGATAACTTTAGTGGATTAAAATTTTAGGTCACTTTTTTGTTCTGCTAACCTTCAGATTTAACACTGTCCAAGGGCAAACATATCTAAAAGTAGATATGTTAATTCTATCTTGTTTTTAGAAGAATTAAAGGAACAAAACAGCAAAAATGACTTTATCCAATTTCAGGTAAGAAATCTCTACTTTTTTAGAGATCTCTATTTACTTTCTGTTATTCAATGCCAGAAAGCACTGTATTTCTCGTCAAACCACACTAATCCAGTTTTCCCCCTGTTTTTTTTAATCTGCTAATTTCGTTGTTGCTAGGAATGTTTCATTTTCATGTTTTAGCAGAGATCACTTTTGTAGTTTACATTGTATATCTAAGTCTCTTTGACTATACAACCATAAAAACATTATAAAGAATTTTCTAGAAACAGGAAGAAACAAGAGGAAGAACAGATAATGAAAAAAATATTTTAAAATACTAAATAACGATATGAATTTCTATTGAAACAGATGTAAAGAGGAAACTGAGAATTTAAAATAATAGTAAAAGAGAAGCAAGATATCCAGAATATATCGATAGAGGCAATTTCTTGGAAAGGACAAGGGATTATTATTTTCTATAAAAAGAAGAGTGAATGTCTTTTAAAAAATTTTAGGAGAATATTTATCATGTAATATTTATTATAGCCTCAGTATTGTCAGTCAACCACAATTCAGCAGTACTCTACTCAATTGAGCTTTTAGACCAAATATCTTGAGATGAATTGAAAACGTGAAACATCAGACCAGAAAAAATTGGAAACATCCTATTGATTTTAACATATAAATTTTATATCATTTTATACTTTGACTCTTAAATCAATTTAGAAATCTTAAGCATTTTTGTGTCGTTTTCATGGTTATGTAAAGACTTTCTTCTTGCCTATAAACATTGAAAAATATTATATTTAGAGTCAGTATGGCAGCACGTTTTTGAATTAGCATTTCCCTTTCTTTTTCACAGTCCTCCTCGACAATTAGTGGCAAGCAATGGCCCCAAACATTCACAACTACAGTTATAAAATTTCACTTCTCTTACAATAAGAAAAGTATGTTAAAAATGGGGAATACATGTTTGTTATTAGCTGGAAAATTACTGTGCTATCCTCTAACTAATTCCTCCAGAAATTTAGAAATTCGATCTTTTCCTATTTTAAGTCAACAGTCCAGATACTGGATGTCATCTAAGAGTGAATCATAAAAAAAAATTCTGCAGAGAATTATTTTTCACTTAAATTATTGAAAATTAAATTGATCATTATAAATGTAATACATGCTATATTTGTATTTTATACTAAGATACTATAAATTAATAAGAATTAGGAATTCTTGAGTTATTTTATAAGAAAAGAGTAAAAAAGGAAAGTTAGAGATTTAATACGAGTCTGCTAACAAAAGGATGAGAGAATTATTGACAACCAGTTTTGAGTGTGTCTAGTTTACCCTAGTAAACTGACACAGATAAAAATATATGAATTTAAAAGGCTTGCAGGCTGGAATGATTTAAAATTTGATGTAGGCATTGGAAGAAAGCAAATACTGACCGATACTAGAAAGCAAATGTGGGGCTGCCATGTTGCACAGAGCCAGGGAGCACAGTTTTTAGTGTATGTTTGTGAATGTCCCTGGAGTTATGCGACGTGGCATCCCTGTGGCTAACATTTACGTGCTGCTCGCTATTTACCTAGCACTGTGCTCATCCACCCACTTGTATTAAATAACAGCTAATGAATCTAAGAAGGAGAATTGGATCTGGGATTAAGGAGACAATATAAGTCCTGGGACTCAGATGATCACATAATGGAACAAGAAGAGTCTATGGTCAGCATTCTAGTTAGTAATCAGAGGGTTTTAATGGAGTACATGTATCTATTTAAATTAATTCCAAAATATCTTAAGTAGTACAGAAAGGAATCCACTCCACATTTCTGGTACTTCAACATATTTTTACTTGTCTATATTCCCTTCTATTTTTTGTTTTGGTTCACGTTACTCTAAGCATGTTTAATAGGTTGAGTTTTGATTTTGATTTTTAAAATTTAACTATTTTATTTGATGGAGAAGGCCACTACTCAGTCTTTCATATTTTGATTTGTATATTGACATTGTTTTAAGCTGATTTACAGAGTAGTTTTTCCTGTGTCTTATGACTGGTTTCTAATCCCAACCCACTGTGCGTGGCTAGTTTTGTGGCTACCAGCCCACGTCTCTACCTAGAGAAACTCTTATTGTACATTACATGTTCTTGTAAACACTTAAAACAGTTGAATGTGAGGGAACCGAATTGTACATGTTTTCAATGTCCCAGATAATATAAAATATTATAAAAATATTTTTAAATTATAAAGTTATTTTGAATCACATAGGCTTGACGTAATCTTGGATGATACGTTCCAGCATTTCATAGGTGCCTTTATTTTTGTTCTTTTGTAGTCAAACGTTAAGTTGATTGACTTAAAGTCCAGCGAGCATTTCTTTGAGGCTATTGATTATTTCTATCTTTATACTAATTATATTTAATTTATGAGACTTACATTTCTTATCACGAGTCTTAACACTTTCAGTTTTCCATTTTCCTGTCATGTTTACAAAATAAGGGGAAATGAAGTGTAAAATCCAATAGTGTATAATCTGCTATATAAAGATTGTGATATTGGCTGGCAGGCAGCATCAGCTCAGAGCTCAAAGTGTTTGTCAGCTGCTTTTCAAAAGTTCCAACTTTATAATATTTAAGGTGAAATCAGATTACATATGAAAGTATAATGTCTTTTTGATTATAGCAATCCTAGTGGATGTGAAGTGGTATCTTGTGTTTTTGTAAAGTAACAGTATTATTGAGTTGTAATTTATTCTTTTAAAGTGTACAGTTCAGTGGTTTTTAATATTTTCACAGAGTTGTGCAATGATCACCATCATTAAATTCCAGAACATTTTCATTACTCAAAAAAAAA